TTAGTAACTGAGTGTATGTTTGTTGTGTTTTTCTTAAGGATGAAATTACACTTTAATTATCATCAATTTTCTCGGTTCATCCCGTAAATTGCTTTCGGATAGTATTGTTTCAATCCTAAACTTTCTGTCCTTCATTTCTGTGTTTTGTAGGTTTTTAACCAATAAAGTATGCCAAAGCAATCATGCCCTGAAAAGCATCTGTATAAGATACTAATTGACCTCTCCTCGATTGCGGCTTATCGAGTCATTCACGTCTGGGTGAAGTTCATTTTGAATTACGTGAAATACTGTCTTTTGTTCTACAGGCTTAATGTAGTTTGTAGCTTTAAGGTACATTCTAGAAATTACACATATGACCTTAGATACAGTAGGCAATGCGTTGATCACTCTTACTGAGTAATCAATTGCAGCTGTATTACATTGATATTGGGACATCATTGGTTATGACTAATACAACATTAGTGATTCCATTTTCCCCTGCTTAGGACTTCTTATTTTAGCCTTCAGTTGTGTTCGTGTGATTCTCAAAAATTTGGAGTTTATTAAAATTTGATGGCTTCCAAATATCGAAGAATTGGTTGTAATTTCCAAAGTCCAACTCGTAGTGTTATCATTTTGTAACTATTGATCGCTTTCACGTTTCTTATCTTATTTCAACCTCTCCTTTCATAAATTCTTGAGAAATTAATTTACGCACAGCTGAGACAATTTCTTAGCAAGAATTTATTTTTAATCCTCTTCAAACAGACTTTTAAACTTTCCAATTACTGATCTACTCGAAGTCATAGGAATTTATTACTGATCTACTCAAAGTCATAGGTTATATTTAATTAGGGCTGGATTCTAGATTTTTAGAAAGGCTTTTATTAGTTTCGATAAAGATGTTTTGATAGACGTTCGCCCTTCCTTTAACATCTTTGTTACATTGGTTTCGGAATTACCTCACTAGCTAACATAAACGCACCCAGACTTCATTTCATAATACTTTTTCTTCCGAGTGCAATGATGAGTCAAATATGTCCATGATGGCGTGCTGTTGTTAGGAACAAACTATTTGCATTTATTGATTTTACAATTGAATCTATTATTTATCTCTTTTATATATATTTAGATATACCTTTACTCAAAACTTCATTTAAAATTGATTTTATAACGATGAATACTTAGTGTAGATGAACATGCTATCAGACGTAGATAAGCTAATAGACGGTTTTCAATATCACGGAAAAGTAAGATCAAAATTTTGTTAAGTCTAAGGCTATAAGATCATCTATAAGATAGGGGTTGTCGACAAATAAAATGGTCGTAGAGCCTAACTGTGGTCAAGTTACTACAGCTCGAACTTGGGCTGGCTCGACCGGGGAAGTTCCACGGTCTCACAAAAGTTCGGCGTGAAGTAGTCTTAAATGGCTGTGTTTTATCTGATGACTGAGAGAGCCGGTTTCCCATATCCTTTTTCCCACCCTTGCCCTTTTCCCACCATTTCCTTTCCCTCTTCCCCAAATAAAGGTGGCAACGCATCCGAAAAATTATTTTACGGATGCCATGGTCAACGGTACTACCTATATCAGATAGGCCGTCTGCTCGTTTACTCCTTTCAACATAAAAAAATAGTCGAGGGGTCCTCTTTTTAACTGTAAATGTGAATTTTGTGATTTTTTTAAAATTCTCAATGAACTAGGTTTCAACTACACAATTTGAAAACTTGCTTTAAGGAAGGAGGTTCCATTCAGACGTGACTCAGGATTCGGTTCCTTAACGCTGGTGACCTCTAGGAATCATTGTCGTCTCTAACCTAACCCAACTTTTTTTTAACGCTGTGCCTTTTCTACCAGCCATGATATATGGATGTAACGATAGGGGTATGTGGAACTCTTACGGCACGGGCCAATGTTTACCTTCTCAGCCTCTTTCTGCTCTATTAGCGTATTGCTGGATTTAGTCCGATTTGAAAAATGAATAAATTTACTGTGACTGGAGTCTGGGCGTGAACCAACAGTATGGACCATCAGAAAACCTAGCTGAAGGTTTCCATGATGGGAACTAGTCACTATCGCCTATGGCCATCGGCAACATAAAAATAAATAATGACATACGTTAAAAATGCTATGTTTAAAACGGTTTTCGTTAGCCATTTTTGTAATATTGGCAAACATAAGACTAGAATCAGTCTTTAAGCACAAATGTTATGAAGTAATTGTAAGGAACTGATGGCAATCCTGTGAAAAAATATCTAAGAATTTTACTCGTCACAAATAAGTTAGTGATATCTGATCTAAATATGTTAGAACTTGATGGATATTCGATCCAAGTGTCATTAATTAAACCAGGGAACCAAATAACAACCTTATTATCCACTAACAAATATTATTGTTGCTTATTTCGTCTAACTAGGCCATCCCACCCTTAATATGCCAATGGATTCCGTTAACTAGTGCTGAAGATTAACTTAATACTGGTTAGAAGCCATACTAGGTGCTATTAGTGGTTCTTAAATATATGTACTTGTCTGTTCATAGCATTATTGTAAATAACAATAACCATAAAAATATAAAACCACAATTTATATTTTAAAAAAATGCTTAATAGTCTTACAATCAGCATTTTAACGAAACAGTTGGAATTTTGATATAGAAAATGTTAAATAATGAAAGTCTGAATTGGGCCACTTTTTAGAGTAAAAGAGGGTCATAAGAGTAAAAGATCTGTAGTGTTGAATAAAAGGGAAAACGTGTACACTTCAGACAGATTCTCTTTGGCCAAAATTTAAGTTTAGCTTGGACGTAGTGGTATTTGGTGGATACTATTATTGGATTACCTCAATGGGATAAGATAAAAAAAAATCTTACTATCACGCCAAACTTAGTTTAGAAACAGCATCAAATATGTATTTACAATAATAAATTTCTTATATTCTCAGAAAATCAAAATTAATAATGTATAGTTTAATAGCTATGAGAGTACGTAAGTTATTTTACCAAATTTCAACGATTTCTTTAACGGATTAAGAAATTAAAAAAACATTTTTTTTATTTTGCAACCATCTCAATAACGACATTAAATTAATGTATTGTATCTCTGAAAATTTAATTTACATTCATAAGTCGTTTAAGTGTAATCTAACTTCATTGCTAATTATATTATTAGTTGATTCAGCCATTTTGTCCTTCTGAAACGTGATTAGTAATTGAATGAAATAAATTATTTTCAAAAGAAAATAAAAAAAGCTAATATACCAACGGATCAGATCAAGTAATGTTTAGACACAACATTTACACATATATATATATATATATATATATTAAAATATTATATTTCAAAAAATATCGTTTTGTAAAAAGGAATTTAAATACCATTTAAAAAATATTACTTAATAACAAAATTTGTTAAAAAATAATTCATTAATTATTGTTATAAAAAATATTTATGTATATAATATCGTAAACATAAACATTTTATTATTTGTTATAAAATCATACGTATCTATCTATCTATATAATAATATAATACGGATAATACAGTAGATTAAAAGCTGTGAAATATGCTATAAACTTTAATATGTATATTTCAGTGTAGTAATATAAATTCTCATAAAATATTTTAATAATCTAATGTATAATTTTCAATTAATTAACATTGAATGAATTAGTATTTTGAATACTATACTGACTCTTTTGGTAAACATAATATGATATGATATCTAATTCATGTTATAAATCTTATTAATATTTCTATTGACATGCTTAATATAATTTTTTAAAAAGATTTATAACAAAATGGGAACATTATAATTGGATGAAAATTAATATCACATGCAGTTGGGACAGAGACGTGATGTAAGAGTGAGACAGTAACTCCCACACTCTTATCACCTGTTGCATTGCATCATGACTCAGAGGAATAAATACCGTACTGTGCGTTTTGTTCTGTTAACAATAAAATTAGTGATGCACCTGTAATTATCGTTTTGTATTGAAAAATTTAAGTGACCGGACATTTTGATTTATGGAAATACTAGCAAAATTTGTAGCTATTTACGTTACATATCACATCATTGATTTCAAATACATAGTTCATTTATCGGTTGAATATTTTGAACAATTATTAGTCTGTTTTAATTAATAAATTGATAAATTTGTTTTATTTACTACATAGCTGTTTAGGATTTCATTTATTTTACTATTCTTTTCTCAATTAATTAAAATACAAACTATATAAAAGTAAACATTTAAATCCTTTCAAATAGAATTCCTTGTCAGAAAATTGAAGTTTAGAACAGTAAAATATCTTAAGATTAAATTTTGTAATGCATATTTATTTGTCATATTATAAGGACGTAGAAATTTAGGATTTTGTATAGAATCCGTTATTTCTAACAAAAAAAAATCTTAATTGCGTGTCGGTTACGCTCTAAGAGTAGATATCGAAGGTGTGCTTAATATTGTGCTTAATTTTAGATATTTTATTCTAATTCGGAAATGGTTTTGTGTGATTTTTTAGGTATTTTATTGAAAACGTCTATCCTAATTCTTATGATTTAGCTTTCTTTCTACTCGTCTCTCAAAAAAACAAAATTATGGGAAAACTGATTAATATAACTAAAAATATTCTTCTATATACAACTAAACTTTTTTTTTAACATTTAAATAGGTTACGTAGATACCTATTTCTTTAATTTTTTCACTACATCCGATTTAAGATAATTATCTAATATCTGGAGATGCTGTTATTCGTTAACAATATAAAATTTTAAAGCTTTGTATAGAATCAGTTATTGTTCCATAAATTTTATAAGAATATATTAAAAGGTCAAGTTAAAAAAATATTTAGTTTTTCTATATGTATATGAAATTAACTTTTTAAGCTTTACGAGAATTACTCAAAATGTTATAAGTTTTTTCATTATCTAGTTATGTTCATAGCCGACTTACTAAAAATCTTCCCGCGGGAGCCGTGATAATAAACGATGAAAGAAATGATGACGATAGACCCATGGAAGCATGAACCCTTGCGGGGTAGCGCGCGACGTTGCCGCTCCGCTCCCGCCGCTGCCTCGAGCCGGCGGCAAGTCGCGGCATACCGCGTACCACCTTCGTCTGAGCACCGCGCGCCTCCGAGGCTCAAGTCGCGACAAACTTATAAACTCACTTTTCGACGGCGGAAACCAGTCCCCGTTCGGAAAAAAATACCTATTACGACACGAGATTCACTTCCAGTCTCTTCATGACCTCCGACGAGTCTGAATAGCTTTTAAGTGACTTGCATAGAAGAAACTTTTAAATAAGTTTTTGGACGTGCTGCGGTCATGGTTGAACAAAGTTCTCTATAAACCGGTAAGTAAAACAGACGTTACTGGAAAACAATGTTTGAATGATTACACGTTTTGGATATCTGTGATCAGTATGTTTGTTGACTTTTACTGGGCTGTGGTCGCATTACATTCCGTCGGCTACAACAAAGCCTATCAAATCAACAAAGGCTCAGTTTATAAATGTTTAATTTCAAGGAACTCGATCTTTGTTGATAATAAGTTATTGTCTGATTATCGAGTAAGGTCGGGTTTCGAGGGATTGTTAGACGAATAATAAATGATCGCTTGGGAGTTTTATTATTGTAAATAATTAAAAATAATGTTTCATTAAACTCGGATTCCAAATAAAAGCTGAGCTTTCATCTTGAAACAAAGTAAATGAATAAGTGATGACTAATCAATGACTAAGTTCTTGGAGTGTAACTTAGTTGAACAAACATTGAGTAAGTGCATACTGTTACTAAAAAATATTTTCCGATTTTATCATTCAATTGTTGTTTGCTAATTAATTGTGTTTTGTCTTTTAATAAGCTTTATTACTTGGCTATGTGGATTCAGCTTGATTATGTAAGCCTTTGTCTTATATGAATTATTATATGTATGCTAACTATGGAATAGAAACTTAATAAAAAAAGCTCGTAACTAGATGCGAATTCCAGTTCCAAACGTTGAAATTTAATAATAAAACAAAGTACGAGGAAACAGGTCATGTTTCTCAAAGTCTTTACGAGAGTTTTATTGCAATAAATAATTGAAATCAAAATTGACATTCTTTTAAAATACCTCTTTTGTCTTAGAACAGGAAAAAGATATACAATAGAATGTATATTTATGTAGTCAAATTAATATCAATATTACGCCAATTAAATTGAAGGTAATGAATAATAAAACATGTGTTTAAAACGGAATTTAAATAAGGTTAAGCAAAATAATAAGAATTATATGTGATTTTAAAATGAAAACTACCTTTAAAAGAAACGTACGCCAAGTTTGTGGAATCATTACTGTAATTGTAACATAAATATCTAGATTGGTTGTAAAGTAATACAAATACAAGGCATCCAATTTATAATAATATGTGAAGGTTTATACAGTAGACGTCTTAGTATAGTAAAATGTATGTTAGCAAAATTATTAGAATTAAACCACCAAATATCAAATAATTTGTCTCCAATATTACCTTTAGCGTGTCACAAATTCAGTTTGTTGCTTTTCAAGTTCGTAATAAAGTTTGAAGAAGCTTTATATTTGTCTGGAAAATTGATTGAGGATGGGTAATGACGCGAATTGGGAGAACTTGGTTTCAAGTTACGTAAAAGCCCACTTATCTATAACGTAATAATGTTCTACATGTTTATTTATATTTACCCAGTTCTGGGAGTAATTGCTGTGAAAAATAAAAATTTAACCTAAATTGTAAATATTTTTCTGCTATTACAAGAACTGTTTGTCATTCTTTTTAATTAATACTCTTATGAGTTGAATACTTAGTTAAACATGAATTTAATATGGACAATAGACAAAGCATGACAGATTGATAAATAAATAAAGAAAATAAAGAAACACCTTAAAGTATATTTTTTTCTAAATCGTACAAATTTAATTGAAAATATGAGTCAGTGTATTTTTTGTACAGATTTATTAAAAATTCTTTTTATATCAATCTGGTGTATAAATATATCACATTAGTTGTCGATTAAATCATCCCAGTAATATGTATTAACTCGTGTGATGAGAGCTTATACAACTCAAACAACGAGAAGTTAGCCTAAGCCATCTTTGCAAATTGTTCTAACAACAATTAACAACAACAGTAAGCTATCTCATATTAAGTTAAAGATGATAATATAACAGAGGTAATATGATTTGTCAAGTTTCAAAAAGCTAGATGTATTTTTTAAATGCTTATTTAACAAAATAACTGTAGTGTGATATATAATATTAAGATAATAATCATTGAGAAAGTTGGATTGTAAACTGACAAATAAGAAAAATGTAAATAATTATATTATAACAAATTTATATTTTATCGGAATAATACTTAAATTTGATGTTAAAAGTATCATTATAATGCATGAATAACAAGAAACATGCAATGTGTATGGTTGGATGGTTGAATTCTTTTCTTAGACAAAATTTTTAATATGACTAACTGATATCGGATGAATTCACCGTTTGTATGCGATACGGAAATGAGCAGCTAATCTACATAATTTGTGATTCAAGTCAGGTTTTAAGGAATGATTTTATCGAGAGGTTCAAGCTATGGCTAGGGCACAATGGCGACATTGAATTAATAATGTAGATACGATCAGCCTTTGTTCGCGTCATTTAACAGAAAATAATAACCTTGAACCCTATTTTTATATCTAATTTATTTATACACATTTATTACCCGATAATATTTATTTCACACTAGTTTTTGCCCGCGACTCCATCCGCATTAGTTTCGTCATTAGTAATACATGTATAGCTGACCGGGCGAATTCTATTCCGTTTTAGAAGCCATTAATAATCAGGTTTCTCCTGTTTTAATCGAATAGAATGATTGACATATTAGTTTGTTGTCAAATCTAATGTCAAATAAAACGTTAGTATGGGAAATAGAAAAGGGCTGTTTTTATGGTTTTCCCAGTAATGAGTCAATTTTTTTCAGCTTTTATACCTTCCGTGAACCTCCACGAACATTTCAAGACTAAGATAAAATAAATCCATTCAGCTGTTCTCGAGTTTTAGCGAGACTAAGGAACAGCAATCCATTTTTATATATATATATATAGAAGATTAGTATGACAATGAGTTTCTATCCAATCAGTTTTGTAACTGGCAATGTTGAATTATTTTAAAGAATTCATTTCATCCCTAATGTTTTTTATAATAAAATAGGCTAAACATCGATATTATTCAATTAAATTTGATATTTTCTGGCTCCATCAACGATCGTTTTTATAAGACTGAGATTTGTTTTACAAGCGTTGTAATTGAAATGACAGCTTAAGAGCTTTTACGTTTCAAAATAAAAATTGGAAGTTAATGGAAATTATTTTAATATTTTTGATAAGACGACAAAATACTTTGATATTTATTTCTAAAATTCTTCCTTGTACGTTATTCATAAGACAGCTTTTTAGTTGGAACAGTAACTATAATTCACGTAAAGTTTAAGGAGAGAAAGAGTCTGTGGCTGATTCAATTTCCCTTCGGTTCAAAGCAGATTTGGTGAAGGAATTATTAGTAAAAATAGGTGGATTACATTAGTTGTTCTTCAAAGAGCTTCAGTGGAGATATAACGAGGGTCCCTTAGTCTTAAAGAATGACAGAATTTTCACAGTTAGTGATTACTGAGTTGTATGTTCTATTGTGAAAACTTTATTTCTCAAAATGTTAATTTTGTTGCATTTACAGTGTAGGCTGTCAGTATAGTGTAGGCTGTCAGTATCAAGCGGCTACCGCCACGTGCAAGACTAAATATTAGGTCTTACACGTATTTCCTTTAATAAAAAACCTTGTTACCTGGAATTGATTATATCTTGGTAATTGTTGTCAGGTGTGCATTATACATAGCTTTAATACAGCGTTATATGTCTATTACGTTCTAATTCCTATAGAGCCGCTTACGAATAATATTGTTATCTGCAGCTAGATAAAAATCATAATATTACTGCAATGAAATGTAACTTATTTTACATCTTCTGTCTTGTATTTTTCTGTCTTTTACTTTTCTATCTTGATTCTTAGAAAATATACATATGTGCATTTGTAGGTTCAAATTTTATATTTTATACGGCGATTTCTTGGTAAACCAACAGCTTTCCACAGCTTTATTCTCGATAATTAATATACGTAACTACTAGTTTTCGTATAAAATAAGTACAGACTACAGTTTCACCATGAAAAAGTAACAATAATTCATTTTTGTACATATCTTAAAAAATATCGTTACCTTACATCAAGTATATATATATTTTTTTAAATTGTTGTTTTTTTTTATCATTATTTTGCTGTTATATTTTTTATTTGTAATTTATTTAGAAAAGCCTCGTAATAGTGAATGAGAAGTAAGAGTTCCCTTGACTTGGATAGCGTCATTGGAATTAAAAGACTTTCTGTCATCCCTTGTCAAACTTAAACTTATATCTATATTGTCCTCTACTGTCACTTTCGCATTTCAAATTTTCTTATTTATTAAGAGATTATTTCAGAAGAGACAATCCAATCTAAGTATATTGTTCGTAACCGTTTACATAGTAGTAAATTAAAAATCATAATACTATACTGTACTTTGATGTTAAGAGGAGATAAGATGACATTTCAAGATTTGTTGATTTTTTACATCTGTATCTATGCTAATGCTCTAAAATAACAAGAATTAATTAAAAACAAAATTGGGTACATGTATCCGAATATTTAATCTTCATAGATTATTCTAAGAGCAAATAGCTTAAGCTTCTTTCACTTTGATCAATGAAACAGTTTCTTATAAGGATTTAAATTCTGCTAGAATCCCGGCGGTTGTAGTTTCATCATGGATAATACTAAAAGTGCAATTAATGTACTAAATAAATCTAACATTTAATATTTATTATTTAATAAAATGAGACTCAAATAGTAAAGTCACAAGAGTAATTCATAATTGAAAATTGTAATCTCATGACCTTGTTTCTTTTTCAACCATACGAGGATACTGGAGAATTTTTATGGCTTTAAATTTATATACATATGCTTAAAGTTGAATATTGATATATTCTATTGGGTTGATATTGCTGTTAGAATATTTAGCTGTCAAATAATTTTTAATAATTTAATATATTTTATTCGAAAAGTAATTGAAGTAAATGGAAATAAAATGTCTTTTTTTTCAATTTATTTGGAAGCCGGCGAATGTATTGCCTTCCGGAAGATCTGCAGTCGTGACTTTGACTATATTATTTA